TATTAATAAACATAACAAAGATTTTCTACAAAAGTTCGACATTTGGTTATAATAATAGGTATTTATTATCATGCTTGGATCACTTTGAAACTATTTTCGAGGTAGATATTTTTACCCTGATTATGACAAAGAAAATATTTCTGAAAAAAATATCCGGTTACCCCAATATTTTAACTGAATGCTCGTACAAAAAAAATAGAAACAATATCCGATGAGAAACAACAATATGGATGGGTAGTAGAGTAGAGTTGTGTTTCAGAACACAATAGTCCTACCAACAATCCTGATGGAGAGTCTCAAGGTACTTCAACTACATTTAATTCTATAATACAAAAACTAAAATGAATTCTATAATACAAAAACTACATTGAATTTTATATCAACAAACACAACTATGCCATTGTTATTCTTCCCGATTTTTTTTTTTCAGAAGAAACAATGAACACTCGCATGTTTTTCTATACGACGTCTATCGGAGGTTGTTATGATATGCATTTTTTTTAACAATTTTGACAAATTTGAATAATTTTTGGCTAAAAAATTTCAATTCCATAATTGGTTTGACAGTTCATTGTCCCAGCAGCTGTGTTGATGTGACTATCTGTATTATTCTACCATGATACAAAGGATTTAGGAAGCAAGTACATAAGAAACTTGAAGTCATGGCTGGGCATATTTTGTGACATTTCATAAAGGAATTACAAAGCCGCACTAAAATCCTGCCGTCGTTTTCCTTTATAATTTGACATTAATATGCCTAGCCATGACTTCAAGCTTTTTATGTACCTGCTCCTTTATGCATGGTAGAAGAATATAGGTAGATGCATGGTACAATGATATCAAGGTAGGGCTATGATACCATATGATTTCAATTTTTTTATTTTCTTGGCTTAATATGTCATCTTTATTTGTTAATGTATGTGTTTTCTTTTCAATAACAAAAAAATTGTTCAAAAAACATTCAAATTCGGATGTTGTCAAAATGTTTATTTCATCGTATGCATCGACAAAATCTAGAGTTTTTGTAGCGAAATAATCCTTTAGAGATATATAGAACCTGGTTTTGAAAAGTAGTGTTGACCTTTCATTCAGTTTTCGCGGTTTTCAATTATTTATTCAAAATAAATGCAACAAGTTGTTTGATTTTTTTTATTGTTTTGATACTAATTCTGACATTACAAGCCAAACAGGTAGACCTCTATACTTGCAATTTTTTCAAATTTGTCCTACCTTCTCTTCATTGTACCATGGGTAGATGCATCAACGCTTGGAAACATTGATATGTCAAAATTTTTGAAATATACTTTCAAAAATAGGTATGTTTGTATATGTTTTCGTATACGACCCCAATCGGAAGTTGTTATTATATGGATTTTTTTTAACAATTTTGACAAATTTGAATAGGTTTTCATTCAAAAATTTCAATTCCAAAATTTGTTTGACAGTTCATTGTCCCAGCAGCTGTTTCGATGCGACTACCTGTATTCGTCTACCGTTGATTTATGAATAAAAATTGACAATGAAATGTTGTCAAATGTATAAAGTGCCCCGTATACGGGCAAAATACATGACATTAAAATCGCATACGTGTGCATAAAGCTTTCAGCGCACACGGTTCGAACATTCATTTTGCTCTTGATTTCGAAATGTGCAGACAATGTCGATAATGTGGCGTTTCCACTGCACTCGATTTGCTCTCTATTCGTTTTTTGACCCTTAACTATGAAAAAACTACCTAATTCTTCACACAAAATTTCCTGAGCGAACACTCATATTTGTAAATTGTTGAAATCAAATCACTCTCAGAATCAGTGTTGCCAGTATTATTCAGTCTCTCGTCCCCAAAATCAAAAAACGTTTCCCCAAATCTCCTCAAATTTGATTCAATTTCCTCAAAAAAAATCCCCAAGTATTTAACAAAAAACGAACAGAGTAAATTTATTTGAAAAAATATTTGTACATAGAATTCTATTCATAGACTATAGTCTATGTTTAGTTTATAGTTTATCTTGCATATTATACATGTAAAATAACATAAAATTGAAAATAAGAAATAAATAGAACATTTTAATTTCATAGACTAGAGTTTTCAAAGTTGCAATGCAACCACGTCAAAACTTCAAATTCTAAATCGTCAGCATTTTCAGTCTCATTTGGTTTATATCAATTCTTATAATTTAAAAGCTTTAACTTTTCTTGGTAGGCTCAAAATGTTTGCAGCAAATAGAATTATTTGAAAATTGACTATTTATTATTTATAAAAGAGCTTCCAACAAATCATACTGCATTTTTTATACCCTACACCATACATAGTAAGGAGGGAATAAAAAGTTCGTCATTCCGTTTGTAACTCATCGAAATAATAACAAGTAAAAAAACAGTAAGTTCGGCCGGGCCGAACTTTGAATACCCTCCACCATTTGGAACGAATAAGAAAATTTTTAAAAAATTAATCCATTAAAAATTCTTTTAAAATATTTAAAATATCTAACATCGGAAGGTGCCGATATATGGGGATATACCATATTGTGGTAAAATTCTAAGACGATTTAGCCCTGTCCGTCCGTCTGTTGTAATCACGATACAGTCTAAACAAATTGAGATAGGAAGCTAAAATTGTGCACATATCTCTCTTTTGTCTGCAGGCAGGTCAAGTTCGAAGATGGGCTATATCGGGCCACGATATCGTATAGCCCCCATACCCCCCGATTTTCGGTATTTTGATGATGTTAGCAACATTTTTCAATGGAATTGTCTGAAATTCCACAAATAGGTCCCTTGTAAGTACTTTACCCCCTGACAGAGAATTGTCTATATAGGCCAACGATATCATATATCCCCCATATAACAGTACAACCCGATATTCGGTATTTTGATGATTTCAGCCATTTTTCAATGGAATTATCTGAAAATCCACACAAGGAGTTCCTTGTGAGTACTTTACCCCCAGATATAGATTTGTCTATATAGGTCCACAAAATCGTATATCCCCCCATATATCGGCACCTTCCGATATTAAGTATTTTAAAGATTTTAACAGAATTTTTAATTGATCTCTTTGTTGGATAAGTTTTTCATTCGTTCCAAATGGTGGAGGGTATTCAAAGTTCGGCCCGGCCAAACTTACTGCTTTTTTACTTGTTATATCTAAGTTTGGTTTTCACTGAGTTCATACCTGAAAAAAATCGTTCTACACATACATTGCTGGTTGGCACCTTCTATTTAAAACAATCATGCAACTTTTAGCATTTTCAATGCAAATATCAATGTAACTGTCATGGTAGAAAAATTCAGGTAGATGCATCTACGCTTGGGAACATTAATATGTCAGAAATTTTTAAATAGTTCTTCAAAAATATGTAAATTTGTGTATGTTTTCCTACACGGAGTAGGTTGTTATAATATGCATTTTTTAACAATATTTACAAATTTGAGTATTTTTTCATTCAACAATTTCGATTCCAAAATTGGTTTGACAGTTCAATGTCCCAGCAGCTGTGTCGAAGCGTCTACCTATATTCTTCTACCATGGTAACTGTTCTACAAATATACCTTTTTTGACATCACTACAACCGAGACTCTTTTTCCAAATCGCAATGTGTATATGTTATAGGCAAACACAGAGTATGGAAAGAGATAAGTAGATAGCAAATCCATTTCTTAAATCTGGTATAAATTATAACTACTTTGTCTGGTTAGTGGGAAACGTATTTTATTTATGCGTTACGGATGTAAATATCAAAATAAGTAAGGTAGTTAGAATTTTTATTGAAAAAAAAATTCTCACAAATTCCGCAATTTTTTAAAAAATCCCCACTAAATCCTTAAGTCCCCAACTTGAATTTTTCGTCCCCAATTTGAAAAAAAATATCCCCTTTTTGGAGAAAATTCCTCAATACTGGCAACACTGCTCAGAACAGCTATTTTTCGCTGTCCCATCTCTAATAAATGAGAGCATTTATCGAAAAAATAAAGTATGACATTTAAAAATTAAAAATAGAAAAATTTAATAAAATTTTAAAAATTTTTAGAAAGACTGAAAACTACTATGTTGAATGGCGTATGTACATTCAAACGTAAGTACATTTTGTTGTCTCTCTCATTCGAGGTACGCATTTTGTCCACGAGTTGAAATTTTCACAGAAAACTGCAAACAAAAGAGGCAATATTTTCAAAATATTTGTATCGCAGAAAAAAATTTTGACAAGTGTCTCTCCAGCAGAAATAAAAATAGAAAAATACACAAATATGTTCAAAATGTCAACATTTACAGAAAAAGTTGAAAACGTGAATGAAAATTGTAAAATTAATTTGGGAGAAAAGCAATAATTTCTTCTATTCATATTAGTGAGAATTTCATGTATTTTCGTATAAATCCACATTAAAATCAACAAACAAATTTTTTGAAAAAAGGAATTATTTTACGAATCGTGCCGTGTGAACGGGTTAATTCGTGTACAAAATTCTGAGAGCGAACAACGTGATTGAAAGTGTAATGAGAACATAGCATAACGAACGGTACAGCCCGTGTGGTTGAAAAAGCCCGTGTGCTTGAAAAAGAAAGTAAACGAAAAATGTAAAATATATAACAGAATCTGGACGAAAAAAATGCACAAAAATATTGAATTCACGCTCGAAAATATATTTAAAATTATTTAAAAAATGAATAGTTTCACTTACGAGGTATTACTAAGCCTGCGTTAGTCTCTAATTAATTTTTCGGTATTTCGGCATCGATACTTCATATTGATTTTCTTAATAAACCGACTTCAACACCCAAAAACATTTTTTCAGTATCCGACATCTGTATGCACCGACAGAATATGCATGATCCCTCCACCGCGCACCCGTCAAAATCGAGCGTCATGCACGAGAAAAATTAAAAAATTCTGAAGCACGAGAAAAATTAAATAATTCTGATGCTTGATGCTTGATGCATCAAGATGTGACGCATACATATAAATGTTCACTAACGTAACGTTTTACCATAGTGGGGAAGTTGAATATTTGTGTACGCTACGTCGAATTTTAGGTAACGTTGTGAGATCGAAAATTAGTTGAAATGTCCATGAGAACATGGTATTATTGCACATTTCCGATTACTACGATTTATTATTATCGATGTTCAAAGCAGCCAATACAAGCAGTGTCGTGAAATTTTAAACATTTGAACGCGGCAGCATCTCTATTTGGAATTTTTTGTATAAATTAAACAAATAACAATGGATTTAAAAAAACGAAGAAGTTCTGTAAGTAATATGTTTTAATTCGGTTTACAACAATTCACTTTATTTTGTGGTTATAGCTACGAAAATACATTCCGAAAGATGATGAAAACGGAGCCTCAGCTGTGACACCACGCCTGAAGAGAAGAATCAGTTTCAGTGGAAAACGTTTAGTCAGGTATTTTTTTTTTTTTTTAATAATACACATTGAGCTAACAAGTTATTCTTAGGGAGTTTCATGTGGAAAAGGAACCTAAAACTTGGGACAATTCGTACGAAGTATCGGACCATATAAATGTAGAGGAAATGGATGGAAAAGTACCAGAATTTGAAAATGCCGCCAACCCAAATATACAAAACCCACAAAAATCGACATTTTCAAGGCCAGAAGAATTGTTTGGCGAAAATTGCGACGAATCAACGCAAAATGTAAACGACAATACACTAAAGTATTTAATCAATAAGCCCTTGTCGAACAATACTTTGTGCATTGAAAACAGCGTTGATATTACTCTATTTGAGAACGAAAGACAATATTTTACAAAACCGAAAAAGAATGTGTCACATTGCAATTTATCAAACTCAAATCAAAGTAATATTAACAGCTTTTCTCTATATGAGAATGAGTTTTTTGAATTGCCAAATTTGCGATGCAAAGTGTATGGTGAGCGTACAATCGACTTCATGGACGATCTTAAAGATTTACGTGTTGGAAAAGAAGCGAATTCAACCGAAAAAAAAAATTGAAAAAATTGATACATATAAATGTTCACTAACGTAACGTTTTACCATAGTGGGGAAGTTGAATATTTGTGTACGCTACGTCGAATTTTAGGTAACGTTGTGAGATCGAAAATTAGTTGAAATGTCCATGAGAACATGGTATTATTGCACATTTCCGATTACTACGATTTATTATTATCGATGTTCAAAGCAGCCAATACAAGCAGTGTCGTGAAATTTTAAACATTTGAACGCGGCAGCATCTCTATTTGGAATTTTTTGTATAAATTAAACAAATAACAATGGATTTAAAAAAACGAAGAAGTTCTGTAAGTAATATGTTTTAATTCGGTTTACAACAATTCACTTTATTTTGTGGTTATAGCTACGAAAATACATTCCGAAAGATGATGAAAACGGAGCCTCAGCTGTGACACCACGCCTGAAGAGAAGAATCAGTTTCAGTGGAAAACGTTTAGTCAGGTATTTTTTTTTTTTTTAATAATACACATTGAGCTAACAAGTTATTCTTAGGGAGTTTCATGTGGAAAAGGAACCTAAAACTTGGGACAATTCGTACGAAGTATCGGACCATATAAATGTAGAGGAAATGGATGGAAAAGTACCAGAATTTGAAAATGCCGCCAACCCAAATATACAAAACCCACAAAAATCGACATTTTCAAGGCCAGAAGAATTGTTTGGCGAAAATTGCGACGAATCAACGCAAAATGTAAACGACAATACACTAAAGTATTTAATCAATAAGCCCTTGTCGAACAATACTTTGTGCATTGAAAACAGCGTTGATATTACTCTATTTGAGAACGAAAGACAATATTTTACAAAACCGAAAAAGAATGTGTCACATTGCAATTTATCAAACTCAAATCAAAGTAATATTAACAGCTTTTCTCTATATGAGAATGAGTTTTTTGAATTGCCAAATTTGCGATGCAAAGTGTATGGTGAGCGTACAATCGACTTCATGGACGATCTTAAAGATTTACGTGTTGGAAAAGAAGCGAATTCAACCGAAAAAAAAATTGATCTTCCTCAAGTAAGTGTTTTTATTATCAAATGTAATATAAAAGTTGTTGCCCAGCAAACGTTATAAATTTTTTCATAGAGATAATTGTTATACATTGGACTTAAATATTTTTGGAATTTCAATACAGTAGATTCTGGACTTCACTTTTCCCTTAATTTCATTTGTCCAATTTCTACCAATTATTTGGCATTTTGGCCATTACTGAATATTTTTAATTTTGGTGATAACACAAACGCCTAAAAAGCGTTCAGCAATCTTCCAGCAAGTGTAGTCATAATGGAAATCGAGATCCAAAGCACCTCAATTCAAATATCATATGTTCACCTTGATATGTTTTTATACCCTCCACATACATAGTATGCAGGGTTTATTAAATGTGTTATTCCATTTACAACTCATCGAAATAATAATTTTAGACCCAACAAAGTATATATATTCTTGATCAGTGTAAAATTCTGATCATTTCAAACAAAGCACGTATTTTTTCATCAGAGTAAAATTCTAAATAGATTTAGCTATGTCCGTTCGTCTGTTTGTTGTAAGCACGCTAGAGTTCAAACGGCATGTGATAGGTAGCTAAAATGTTGCATAGAATTGCCTTTTGTATGCAGTCAGGTCAAGCTCGAAGATGAGCCATATAGTCAACGTTTTCGTATAGTCCCATATAACTGTACCTCTCGATATTTTTGACTCACATCCTAACGGAAAAGTTTAAAATTCGGAATTTAGAGTTCATAACATGTTTTACTTTTTTGCAGAGCTTTGCTTATATAGGTCCACGTTTTTCTATGGCCCCCATATAGAGGTACTTCCCAATATTTGGTATTTTGACTATTTTAGCCACATACTAAAAATTCAGCATTTGTATTTCGTAATGAGTTCTTCTTTATAAGTCAACATTTTTCTTTAGCCCCTATCCTCCTGATATTCGTTACCTTGATGATTGTAGCCAATATTTTTCCAGAATTTAGATTTCGGCATTTACAGATATATTTTCACACGACTTACATGTAGAAGAATAGTTTTGTTGTTTCTTTTGTTTTTTTTTTCAAACGTTCCCAACGCCACTCTTTCCCACCCCAACCGACCGTGGGGGCGACCTACCCAATAAGTAGTGGTACCGTACTCACCATGATCCGTACCATGGTGGAAAATTAGTAGGCCTTTAAATAAAATATTTCATTAGCCGGTGAAAAATTTTTTTACTCATTTGAAAACAATTATTCTATATTTTATTATTATTATTTTTTTTTTTCGAACGTTCCCACGCCTCACATTCCCACCCCTGCCGACCGAGGGGGCGACCTCCCTTTACGGAGGGATCGCGTACACATCATGATCCGCATCATAATGGGAATTCAGTAGGAAATTGAAAACCAGCTACAGAATCTAATTCATCAGCTAGTTTGTCAAATAATAAAACATGTATGTTAATTGTTTAAAACTAAAATTATTCTAGATTTAATAACTTCTAAACTCATACAAAAATCTACATTATAATACACAGAATTAAAGTCAACACACATTTTATTAAGAGGTTCGCCCATTGAATAATTCGTGCGGTGAAAATCAGTATATAATAATTGGTAGTATCTACTAGATCTAAAAGGAACATTAATTCTAATAGATGAGATTAGGAAATCTGAAGGTATATAACCATTTAATATTTTTAGTACAAACATGGAGTTCAACATAATACGTCTGCTTTTAAGTGTAGGCAATCTAATTAATTTTAGCCTGCTAGCATAAGAAGGCAAAACAAAATCACTATTCCAATGTAAACCTCGTAAGGCAAATAGCAGAAATTGTTTTTGCACGGATTCTATTTTATCGTAATATATTGCATATTGAGGATCCCATACAACAGAACCATATTCCAATATAGGTCTAACAAGAGACGTAAATAATTGTTTTGTTATATATGGATCAGAAAATTCTTTGGCCCACCGTTTAACAAAACTTAAAACACCATTTGCTTTATTTACCATTGTTATTACATGGCTATTAAAATTTAATTTTGGATCCATCAAGAGGCCTAGATCGACAAATGAATCTACAGTTGATAATGAATGACCGTCAATATTATATTGTAATATCAGAGAAGAAGATCTGGAGAAGCACATATGCTTACATTTGCTTAAATTTAACTCCATACAATTTAACTTGCACCATTTAAAAAGGCTATCTAAATCGTTTTGAAGTAAACTGGCTCGTTTATCACAATTATGGGAAATGAATAATTTAACATCATCTGCGTACATTAACAATTTCGAGTAATTTATGGAATTAGGTAAATCGTTGATAAATAAAAGAAAGAGGACCGGTCCAAGGTGACTTCCTTGCGGAACACCCGATGGAACGTTAATCGTTTTGGATAGATACCCTTCAAACAAAACTAGTTGTGATCTATCTTTTAAGTAAGATGATATCCATTTGACTAAGTTTGTGTTGAAACCCATATAATTTAATTTATACATTAGGAGTTCGTGGTTAACCCTATCAAAAGCTTTACTAAAATCAGTATAAATTGTATCAGTTTGTTTACGCTGAACAAATCCTTTTATTACTGTTGACGTAAATTGTATAAGATTTGTTGTAGTTGAAAGACCACTACGAAAACCATGCTGATATGGACTCAATATAGATTGAATTTTCTGTGAAATTACTGCAGTAATTAATTTTTCAAACAATTTAGGTATGGCACTTAATTTTGCAATTCCTCTATAATTTGACACATTAGTAAGACTACCAGACTTATGTAAAGGTATAATATAAGATTTTTTCCGGAAAGTAGGAAAGTGACCAAATTTCAGTGGATAATTAAACAATATAGTTAACGGAAGTGCTAATGTTTCTGAACAATATTTAAGAATTATATTAGGTATGCCATCCGGTCCTGGACATTTAATCGATCGCAGACTATTGTACACATCCTGACGTTGTAGAAAAGGCATACAAATACAAATTTGATCAGCCTGTGACAACTTATAAGGATACGAATCTTTAATTTGGCAAGATGTACTGGAATAGGTTGTGGCAAAAAAATCTGCGAAACATTCAGCAATATCTGTGCCTGTGACAAATTCTTTATTGTTATATTTCAATACAGAGGGCTTTGAGAAAACTTTTCGTTTTAGATTAACAAAATCATAAAAAGATTTAGGATTGGATTTAAAATTATTTTTAATCTTGTCTAGGTAAAGATTATACCATCTACGAGACTCTAAAGTATATTTAGATCTGGCAACAGAGTAATTTGTGTAGTCTATTGATAAGCCTGATTTTTTATATTTTCGAAAAAGCTTATTTTTAGAATTCTTTAAACTTGATAACTCAGGGGTTATCCATGGATATTTATTTGAATTTTTAACTCTAGTGGTTGGAACACATTCCAGTTTAAATCTATTTAAAATATCATAAAATTTATCAATTACATATTCTAAATCTTTATGGCTGTTACACAGGCACACAGAAGCCCAATTTACGGAGGAAATGAGGGTATTAAATTTTCGAAAATTAGTTTTTTTTGTAATTAAGGACAGTTTTAAATGACTCGGACTGACTTTCTTCAATTACATAACTATGAGTCATGGAGATATATAAAGTTGGATGGTATATATCTTCAGGAGTGCATATTGGAGGAATTCTGAATATATCAAAATGCTGCGTTATATTTACAAACGCCAAATCAAGAATTTTGCCGAGGGAATTTTTTGCACTGTTTATTTGATAAAGATTTAAGTCACACAAACTATTTATAACATCAAATGTATACTGAGTACTGTTCATTTCGGATGGCAAAGGAATCAAAGCTTCAGAATCTGGCATTGGAAGCCACCTAATGGAGGGCATATTAAAATCACCAAGGATCAGAATGCGATCGGAATCTTTCATTTTTTCAGTGATTAAATTTATTGCTGATAAATGCTGATTATAAATGTCAAGTGAAGATGAAGGGGGAATATAAGAGCAA